CGGATTTTATTTCGTCTTCCCATCTTCGAAACTGTCTACCTCGTTTTCTTTTATTATTTCTTGGGTACCAATATATGATCTTTTTGTTCCACTTTTCTATACCTCTTATTACGTGACCAGCCCATTTCCATTTCAATCTTCGTATCCTCGTTGTGACGTCTTCAATCTTCGTGTGGTTTCGTATGATTTTATTATTGATTCTGTCGGACTTCCTGATATTTAGCATGCTTCTTTCCATCGCCGTCTGGCATGTCTTCAATTGCCTGGTTTGCATTTTAGTGAGTGCCCAAGTTTGGCAGCCGTATGTTAATACCGGAAGTATGCAAGTGTTATACAGCTTTGATTTGACATTTATTTTTATTTCTGTGTTTTTCATGATTTCGCTAAGCCCCCAGTAACATTTCCAGGCTTTCCCAATTCTTGTATCAATTTCCTTCGACATTATACCAGTGGTTGAGATCTGTTGGCCCAGGTATGTGTACTCTTTCACATAATCAATTGACTCTCCATTTACTATAATAATATCTTCTGATGCATTCGTCATGGCTTTAGTTTTTGAGGTGTTCATTGTTAGCCCTACCTTGCGGCTTTTCCTCTCCAGGTCTGTAATCATAATTCGTAGATGCTCTTTGTTTGTAGCAAATAGTATGATGTCATCGGCGAATCGTAGGTGTGTTAGTTGTTCCCCCGTTTATGTTTAGTCCGTACCCATCCCATTTTAATTCTCTGAAGATGTCTTCTAGTACAGCTGTGAATAATTTAGGTGATAGGGGGTCTCCTTGACGTACACCTCTATTTATTTTGATTTCTTTTCCTACTTTTTCTAGTTTTATTCTAGCGGTACTATTCGTGTATATATTTTTTAATATTCTGATGTACTTTGGGTCGACTCCTTGATTTTTTGAGGCAGTGCCAGATATTTTCGTGCTCTATTGAGTCGAATGCCTTGTTGTAGTCTATGAAGCAACAATAGAACGGCACATTGAATTCTTTGGTTTTCTCAAATATTTGTCTTACCGTAAGTATATGGTCTAATGTTGAATATCCCGCCCTGAAACCAGCCTGCTCTATAGGTTGATTTTCGTCCAGATTTCTGGTTATTCGCCGCAAAATTACTTTCGCAAAGACTTTATAGATGTTTGACATTAAGCTTATCGGCCTATAATTGTTCATGTCACTCCTGTCACCTTTTTTGTGGAGGAGGATGATCGTTGATGTGGTCCACTGTAACGGAATTTGTTCAGTGCTCAGTATATCGTTAAAGATGTATTTTAGTAGTGGTGATATCTCTTTTTTGCAGACTTGAAGCATATCATTATTAATCCCGTCAGGGCCGGAAGCTTTATCCTTCTTCTGGGATTCAATTGCTTTGTTTATTTCTGCTTCTATTATATGAGGAACATTATCGTTGCTAGTTAAGTCTATATTGTATGTATGATATTTGCTGGAGTAAAGGTTCTCATAGAATTTTGTGGCTATTGATAAAATATCCGATCTGATAGTCCTTGTCTTGCAAAATTGGTCTTTCATATTAGGTATCCACTTTGTATTGTCAGATAAGAGCTTAAGAGCCTTTTTTATGCCACCCGTCTTGATGATATGTTTTTCAAAAGTGTCACGTCTAAGACGTTCTCTGTCTCTTCTCATTTGGCTCTTAATTTCTTTGCTAGTTTTTCCTATTTGTTCTCTGATAGATTTTGTTTTGTAAGTCATTTTAATTAATTTTGATCTTTTTTCTATGAGGTCTTTTGCTTTAGCTGATATGTGGCCATTGTCCTGTGATTTGGTTTTAGACGTGGTTTTCGATCTTGCTGTTAGTATCTCGTGTATTATGTTGTATTTCTCTTGAGTTTTTAGGTGCTCGAGCGATGATACCTGCACGGACTTGAGGTTTTCTTTTATGTTGGCAATACTAGTGTTGCTGCACATTGTGGATGTTTTAATTTTGAAGGGTCGACATAACTTCAAACTAAATGATGCGTTTAAACACGCTCTAAGCATTCTATGGTTACTGTTGAAGTTAAGGGTAGAGATGGTGCCACAGTCGTCGATTGATTTGGGTCTGTTCGTTAAAAAGTAGTCTATTTCATTTTTGTATCGACCATCTGGTGATATCCATGTCCATCTTCTGGAAGCTCTTTTTTGAATACACTATTCATTATTTTCATATTATTTTCAAATGCCATTTCCATCATCTTTTGCCCGTTTCGTGTTCGTTTTCCAGTACTGTAAGGACCTAGTACGACATCTTCACCGTTTCTTGGGGTTCCAACACGTGCATTGAAATCGCCCATTATAATGCAGTTTTTGTGTGTGTGTTCTTTTAGGGCGGTGTTAAGGGATGAGTAGAAAAGGTCGATCTCTGAACTCGTTGATTGCTCAGTTGGTGAATATATTTGCACTATAGACCATGTTTCTCTGCCTGGAGGGATTCTAACATTCAATATAGCGATCCTTTCTGATATGCCGATTATTTCCACTATAGAGTTTTTGAGTTCTTTCTTGATCAGGAAACCTACTCCATGTCTTCCTGGAGTTTCACCTTTATAATATAATATGACTTCATCGTATTCCTGAATTGATTCGCCAATCCTTCTTACTTCGCTCAGGCCTATAATGTCCCACTTAATATTTTTGATAGAATATAGAAGTTCTTTAAGGCTTTCTTCAGACTTTAGGGATAATGTGTTGAATGTGGCTATATATATTTGTTTGGTATAAAATTGTTTCTCAGTTGCACAAGTATTCGTTTTAGGTGTGGGAGTGGGAGTAGTATTTGGAGGGTAATGGTCGCTTTCCCCCACGGTGACCAACCGTCTTGGGGTGATTGCTTTCAATGTTTCTTTGGCTAAGTGTGTTTCTATTGTTGGGTTGGGTTTCCTGTTGTTGTCGGCGTCTGTTGAGCGTTTTTTGATGTTGATGGTGAAGGTAGTGACAGTGATCTACCACGTGCTACGTAGTCTAGCATGCAAGTTTTATTAATCTTCTTTGGGCCCGCAGTACGTGTGTAAGTTGGGGATTTGCTTGGGGAGTTAGTGGAGTCTCTTTTTCTCTTATCTCTTTTGTCCTCTTTCGGTTCTTTCACAACTATTTTATCCTTGAAAAAGTAACAAATTTTTCCCATTGCTCGTTCCTCCTTTAGTTGAGGCAGAAGTTGTTTCCTCTTTTCCAAGGTTTCCTTGCTAAGGTCCTCCTTAATATAGATATCAGAATCTAATTTCTTTTTGTTCCTAAGTACTTCGTTTCTTCTCCAGTTTGTTGTAAACATTACAAGGATAGGACGCGGTTTGTTGCCTTTTTTTTCTCCTAGTCGATAAGCTTTATTTATTTCATTCGAGTTAAGATGAAGATTCATGTTTTCTTCAAGTACTTTTTTTATGACTTCGATTGGAGACTCCATGCGCTGTTCCTCTTTTATACCAAAGAAGATTATGTTGTTTCCCTTCCTGTATTCTTCCATCGACTTAATTTTGTCTTGTAAGATTTTTACTTCAGTCTTCAGGCTTTTGTTTTCTTCCACAAGAGCAGACAATTTTTCGTTAATATTCTCTGACACGTTTCTAGTGACAGCTTCGGTTATTGCCTTTGTTTGCGCAGCCATCTCCTCCTTCATTCTGTGCCAAAAAAATTCCATCTCCTTTTCCATTATTGAGTTGGAATACTAGATAAGGGTTGTCAACACCAGATTCCGGTTTCGGTGTCAGCCAGTAAACATATGTTATCGTTAACTCGTCCGAAAATAATTACCATTCGCTTCGAGCTCGGGAGCGGCGGCGGCGGTATAATTCCTTACAGAATTATTTTTCCCTTTATATACTATCTGTTAGAAATAAATAAGATATCTTCATATAAATTTATAAAACAAAAATTAAAAAATTAAAAAGAATTGTTCTTTCAATATCCCGTGTATAGGTTTGAACTTAGGCCGATTGAAATGTTCGATTCCGGAACACAGCTTAACTGCGAAGCCGAGTACTGTATGACGAGGAGGACGAATTACTTGAACAGTTTCTTTCTTGAGTGACGTTTACAAAGAGTGACGTACACACGTTTAACATCACAGATAAAAAGTCATAGTTTTTTCTTCTTTTTGTAGTAATATCAACAAAAATTGACTGATCCTTGTTATAAGTCACTCGCACTTGATTTGTACACGCACTTTTAATTGTTTTAGTCAAAACGAAAAGTCACCGAAATCGAAGTCAAGACAACACAATTTAAAACGTGATATTTTTCTATTTTTTACACTAATAATAAGGCAGATACGTTTGCCTATGGTATATCTTCTCCTGGTTCGCTTCAATATTTACTTTTTATTGTGTATTCTCACTTATTTCTATTTTTAATTGGTTATTTTGCGAGGACTCGATATTCAACTTGCGCCTACCCGCAACAAGTTCGTATATATACTTAATATTAAATTTCTCATGTAAATAAAAAAAAAAATTTTTGTAATGAGAAATAAAGTTCTTTAAACATTACTTTTTCTAAGAGGAAGGGGAGGAGGGAATAAATTGCAGTAAACCTGTTTACGTAAAACTTGAATGGTTTAAGTATATTTACGTGATATTAAACAAATTCTTTTGTTCTCTCAAAACTAAGTTTATAGACAAATTCATGATTAGAAACAACAATAAAAATTACTTTCAAGTTTCAATTTATTTAAATAATAAATAGAATAATTTAATAAATTAGAATAATTAACGGGTTCTTAAATCTAAATTATCGTTTAAATTTGAACTTTATTTTCATTTATTGACATGGTAACTATTGACGATTGCTCAAAATGGCACGTGAAACCAATCAACACAAAAATAATAAAAAATGTGCAAATATTAACGCCTCGCCCACTATTTGTTTCTTCAGAATGTTTATTTAATATGTTTAACTTATTTTATTGCGTCTAACGAATGTTATAAGACGCTATGTCCGAATGTCCTCGCTTAAATATAAGATGTATGCACCGCAACCGTACCGCAAACCGAACACACTTATCATAGATGAATGAGGTGAATAGGGTACAAAATTCGAGAGTAGCTTAAAGTTAAAGAGATATTGTCTGTGCCCCATGCAACATTAAACTAGGTCTGATCATAGATTCTATAAAAGTAGGAGCCCTGTTAATAATTATTGATGCATATAGTTGTAAGCTTTAAAGGCCAACCACCTTCGGCCTCAATGGCCAACCACTAACATGTGTGTCCTTGGGCTGAGGTTCTGGCTGAGCTTCACGATATGTTAATCTAGCCAATAGCCTCGATAAATGAAGTATTCAGTACAAAGAAAAACTATCATTTGAACCAGTCTATGTTAACGCCTTAGAAACCTGAAATTAGAAACTTAATATTATTTCGCATAGATAATAAAATGTGTCAAACATTTTATCTACCAAATTATTATTTGGACAAATATTATTGTTAAGTAAACTAAGGTATGTACAACAGAATTTCGCCTTTTTGGATGTAGTTTGTTTTAAACATACATTATATATAACATATATATATCTATATAGTTCCAGGCAAGTAAGTTCCAATAGATGCGAGTACGTCTAAGAAATAAAAAAAACAAATTAATTTGTACCACTAGGACATTTCTGGTTGATCAAACTTCAAAAAAGATGACTAGCTGACCGTGAGCTTTTACCCACTGATTGTAACTATATCAATACCTTTCTTCTATTTCTGTTCACAAAAACTCTTTTTCCTGAAGTATTCAAGAAATTGTGTTTACGCTGTGATGAAAAAGATTGAATTTATTGAAATTTACAATCAGGTTGATTGCCCGAACCTTTTATCAAAATTTAAATTTCGTGTACCGTCTAGATACCTCAGGCATCCCATCATTCCATTTGTTCCTCCTTTCCGGAGAACGCGTTTTGGTTAAAACTCACCGATATCCAGATTGAGCATTCTTATAAACGAGCTAGGTCTGGATATCCATAGTTGCTCCCCTCACACTTTAAAATCGATTATAATTTATTTTTTGTTATTTTAATTGTTTTGTTTAATATTTGTATTATCTCATTGTGTATGTCATGTTTGCCTATAAGTGCTTATCATATAAAAAATTGTATATTTTGGTTCTTTTTAGTAGTGTATCAGTGTGCAGAGCGTTGGCAAGCTTTTAGATATAAAAAAAATCGGTTTGTATAGCTACTTCTAATAAACACACAAAATGTACCTTTATTGGTTACAATTTTTAATGGTTTTTTCAATTAATATGTTTGGTTTCAGGGTCCTGAGACAGCGCTGAACACAAGTCCAGGTGGTGCTGCGAAGCCGCCACCACTCAACTCTTTCGAGCTGGACCGCTGCTTGGACAGGTAAGATTTTTCAAGGAATGTTTCTTATCAACAGCAAAATTATGTAACCTTTTGATATACAAAGTTATCTTAAGGCTTTAGTGCTAATGATCACTGTTTGTTAGTGTTATATATGTACATCCCCACTGGACTTTAAATTAATCAAAATATGTAGCTTGGTACTAACTATTTAATAGGAAATTAAGGATTTTATAAAAAGGAGCACTTGGACACAGCAGGGCTGTTTATAATTCTTGATGCATATAGTAAGCTTTGAAGGCCGAGCATCTTCGGCCTCAATGGCCACCAACATGGGTGTCTTGGGGCTGAGGTAGCTGCTTTTTATGGGTGTCCCGCCCCTTTGCCCATCCATCACCCATGTTAATTCTAGCCCATAATCTCTCTTTGTCATTAAAAAAACCCGAGCAGAAATGTAAATCTCCTCCTTCGTTTTTTAATCCGGTTAAAAATTACGCTTGTCATTCGCCAACGCGCTGTTACGTGAGAATTTACACAGCTTTTGAGCTCATACAAAGTCCTCAAACCTAGAATCTTGCGCATCTGTAACAAAAAATTTATACATTTAAATATGCAATGTATTTAGTATGTGGTGTAATATTTATTTAAAATGACTTAGCTACCAACAATTTGTTTAGTTTAGAATTTCCTAGTTATTATTTGTTCTGGTGAAATCAAGGCTTAACTATGAGCAAATAGGCGTGTTAGTTGGCACTTATGAGTCAACTTGGTCACGATAATACAGTTATAAACAAACTGTAATATGCAATAACTTTGAAATGTAGAATTTATGTATATGCTTATCGTTAAATATATGACGCTAGCAAATTATTCTATTTATTATCTATTCTATGTATTTGGTTAGATTTTATTGCATACTAGCGGACCCGAAAGACGTTGTGATGATATTTCAAGCGATTAGGATATTAAACAAAGTATGAAAGTAAAAACTGCAGCGTCATCTGCCGGGATGATTTGTGAATCGAAACCATCCAGGGCGCCATCCAAACGTATACAAAAAATAATTCAAATCAGTCCAGCCGTTTAAGAGGAGTTCAGTGACATACACACTTATCGTAGAATTATATATATAAACTAGTAGACTCGGCCAAGCGTTGCTGTGGCTAGATTTTTGTTATATTACATAGTAGTAAACTATTCAAGAGAAACGGCAGGATAACACCAATGCACCATGCTTTTTTGGTGGTTATGCCATTAAATTGTAGCTTATGTGAAAAGTTGGTAATTATTTTGATAAGGATCAATACCTAGGTACGAATAAAGAGCCTTTTCTAGCGGTGGTATTTTAATAAAAAAAAATTAATAAAAGGACGCTTATTGTGACGTAACTATAAAAGATAGAGACATGCTGTTGCGACATTTTTTATAGATAGTGATGTGTCCTGAAAAATTGTAATACATCATTTTGTTCTATCATTAATAGTTTTCGCAGCGCACACGATTGAAGGAAGTTTTTTGTTTATTTTTTTACACCTTGGGTTAGATTATTCAAGTTTTAGTAAGCATCCCTAATTTTTTTTGAAAATGAAACATGGCCTATGTCACTCGGGAATAGTGTAGCTTGCCAACGGTGAAAGAATTTTTGAAATAGGTCCAGTAGTTTTGGAGCCTATTGATTTCAAACAAACAAAAAATCAAACCTTTCCTCTTTATAATATTAGTATAGATAAAAAAAACTTAATTGTTGTATGATGCTGTGGTTAACGTATGCGGCTGTCCATCCAATGCCACATTGGAATGTAAATAAAGTTTAAAACGTCCTTTGAACGTCCTGGTAACCCCCTTGTTTCAGAGAGGAGGCCGGGCGGTGGGGAGGCGACGCAGCGCGGCGTCGCAGACGCAGCCCTCCGCGTCGCTCGCCGACAGCTGAAAATGAACCACTATCTCTTGCTAGGGTAACTATTAAATATAAGATCTCTGCAGTTAAGCTATGGAATTCAGTTTTTTAAGTTTATTAATACCTACTAACTGACGTGAGACTGATCTTAAATTAAATTATAATGATTCATGTGCACTTTTCAGTATTATTATTTTTTTTTCCATGTATTCTTTTATTAGTATAGTTTGTTTTTTTTTGTTCCTGTTTAGTTTCTTTTTCTTAACAACTCTATGTAATACATGTATTTTTTTTTTCACTTCTTGCCTACCTTATGTAATTTAATAATTTTTTTTCTTGTCTCACCGCCGATAAGGCCGCCAGTTGCCTTTCCTTTACATATAATTATGTTAAATTTTTATATTATAAAGCAACGAAGTGTGAATAAATAAATAAATATATATATTTAACCCTAATCTCATTAAAGTAAATGAATCTCTGTTCTGTCTCTTTTATATGACACAGCTCTTCAAAGTTCTTTCGACGTATTAACACTTTCCAACAATCGCAATTCCATATCCTGGCACAAAGAAATACAAATAATATTACTCAATTTAATTGGGGTTCAAGTGCAAAGGCGCTAATTAAAGATTTAAGATAGTACCGGTGACCCCAGCTGGTGCTTTCCTCGTTCAACGAATAAGTATCTTAATACACTGAGGAAATGCAGCCAGCGTTAAAGGTACACTGCCACAGGGACCAAACTTTTTAAATTTGTTTTAATTATTTTTTTATAAATGTTTAATTATTTTTAATAATACTAGGTTAAAAAAATTGTAAATAATTGAACTTATATTTTTAGGCATCAGCTCCAACATCGCCAACAGCTGGATCTACTCAATCCAGCCCAGCACCAGCCTCGCCATCAGGCAGCACCAACGCAGGTGCCAGGTCTCCATTACCATTAGTTGCGCCAGATCTGCTAGCTATGCAACTGCTGGACCAGCATAGCCAGCTTCAAGCGCTGATGAAGCAACGCCTGTTTCATCAGCATCATATGCAGAAACAGGTACACTATTTATTCATTTTTGTGATATATGACAGGAAGAAATTATCTGCGTAAATCGTTCAATGTATCGGGTTTGAGCTAACTGCAGTACCACCGTACCAAAGAGTGAGGAAATATTTTTAGGAAGAGGGAAGAATTTTACTTTATTTAGCAGTAAAATAGGTAACTTTTTTCTTTAACATATTAAGTTGTAGTTTCTTTAACGTTTAATTTCAGTTTTCTATTATCTATTAATGTTCTTAATTATGTTTTCTGTTTCGTATATTTTGTTTATCAATGTAATGTGTTTTGGCTTTGTATATTGTCTATATGTTTTCTTTTATAATATGTATATGTGTAGCTATGAGATTACTTACCAATTAAACTTTCCTTAAACAATAAGTAACCTCTTGGGTTCTTTTCCCTGTAAATCATTTGTTGATTCAGCTTAGTAGAATTTAATCACTAGCATATACTTCTTTTTCAATATATTTACTAATTTTAAAATTCTTTTACCATCTCCTTTCATAATGTAAACCTCGAATAGGTACTTATTAAATGTCTTGTCTTTATCAATCTGGTGCCACTTCAACAAGTGTGACTACACATGCTTTAAATATATAACCATGTTTATGAAACCACCGAAATTCTGAAAAAAATATTTACAATTGCGGTAAAAGACGAGTCAAGTTATGTAAAAAAAAAATACTTTTATACCCGTTAATGCTATTTTATTTAAATTTATATTACTCGCGTAAATTTAATTATAATTGCTTTTTGGTACTTTATATGTAGAAGCGGTTGCTAACTATTGTAACCAACATTTGGAATTTCTTTCAGCACATGTCATCAGAGGCAGCGAAAAGACTGGAGCAGTCACGGTTGCAAGACCAAATAAGCCTCAATCTGCTCTCACAGTCCCATCTTCAAGCACCAGACAGTTCGCCAGGTATTTTAAGTTTAAATTTATACATAATTTACAGAGGTACTCTGAAGCGTGCGACTCTCATCCCTGCGGTCGTAGGTTCGATCGCCGGCTGTGCACTAATGGAGTTTAACTTTATGTGCGCATTTTACATTCGCTCGAACGGCGAAGGAAAACATCGTGAAGAAACCAGCTTGCCACAGGAGGCTGATCACCTACTTGCCTACTTAGTTGACAAATTATCGTGGAACATTTACAGCAATCTGAGGCCCAGGCTTAAAAAAGATTTTTAAATTCTCATAGGTTCCCTTCAGCAACAGCTTGGTGCCCAACAGCAACAGCTGGTACAGCAATTGCAGGCGGTCCAGAGGCAATATCTGATGCACGCACCACTTTCCGTTCCTCCAAATGCACCGCCAGGTAATAGTCCAAAAAATATATGTTTTGGTATATTCAATACAACTCTTTCTAGAGCTCTCTGTAGGGCTATTATGTATAACAAATAACTATTTCCAAAATTATAATGTAAGACTATCTTGTCAATGTCCTTGTTGATATACACTACACTCTTTCTCTTTTTAAAAACTAAATTTTCAATAACGATTCAAACCTTTTTAGTGTGGGGGCAAGTGCAGTTCCTTTTTAACTAAATATATTTTTTTATCATTTATAATAAAGGTTTTTCTTTCTTTCTCTTATTATTTTTTATTTGAATATAGTGTTTTTCTTTTATTAGGTCTAATGTTATGGGGTAGTGAAATAGAGGAACACCCCTTGTATGGACGAGGTGTGTGTAAGTGGCCGGGATGCGATGCCCTCGCTGAAGATTTCCAGGCTTTTCTCAAGTGAGTGATTTAATATATAGAATATACAACTGTAGAACAATCATTAAATCTTCCCAAGTTGAACAAAACACTAGTTTTTTTTAATAAAATAAAATAAAATATGTTTATTATGGAACAAAAGATACATGTATCACTTATTCCACGTCATTAAATTTGAATCTGTAGGCATCCCTACTCGTCGGCAAAGAAGACAGAGGGTGTAGGCCGAGAGAAAAAGCCGGCGTAAAAAACTCTCGGTACTCTTTTAAAATAGCAAATCAACATACATTGACTCTGCACTGAGATCATTTAACATTAAGCCTAACTTAAGATTAATAAGTAATTTAAGTCTAACCTAATTTACTAATAAGGATATTTAACATACAAAGTGTCCAATAACACTACTTACAGTCTCTATTAAGGGAAAGAAACTCTGTTCTTGTGAACTACGTTTTTCACTTACTACTGTTGAGCACTTAAGAGTAATGTGCAGTCACACTAATTCAAATGATGTTGTCCTTTTCAATCTTCTCACTAGGCCCTTGGTGTCAGCTTTGTTGAATAGCTTGGATATTCACGTATTTGTGAAGCCTTTGTTCGCGGGCTCCAGCAATCTTTATCATTATTGTGGTGACGTCCAATAACAATAGCAATGCAGATTTTTGTGTCACTGTTATTTATTTCAATAATTACTTTTATATCTATCGTTTAGTCTTTGGATCTGGTCATTTTTCTTTCTTCAGTCGGTAGCTCATGTCTGAGCGCCGTGGTCAGCAAGGAAACATCTGTGGAAACACCACTGGTTTCTGTCCAGCGGCTCTCTTATAAGTTTTGAGGACGATGAGTCTTTCACTTAATAAGTCCATTTGGTCAGTGGCCACGTGACTTTTTGCCTTCTGTGTTACCACAATCAATTTCTCCAAGTTCTCATTGCCTCTGCGCATCGGATCTGGTATTATGAACCAGTATTGTCCTATAATTAGTTCTTAGTATCTAATTATCTCCTTGTAATAAGCCGTGAAAACTTTCCTCAAATCTTGAAAAAATTGGTACATTGTTGTGATTCGAATCCAACACTTCATACACAGCTAGAGCCCAATAATAATTTCCAGGCACTTAGAAGCAGCACACACATTAGACGATCGTTCAGCTGCGCAGGCGCGTGTCCAGATGCAGGTGGTAGCCCAGTTGGAGCTGCAGCTACGCCGTGAGAGGGACCGTCTGGCTGCCATGATGCGTCATCTCCATGCTGCAAGGGATACCGCTCATCATCATAAAATGCCACATGGTAAGAAACAAGAATACAAGTTATAGGTACTGACGAATTTAGTTCCTAAAGCTCAAAGTATGGAATATGTTTATGAACACCATTACGATTGCGATCAATACTTAACTATAATAAACAATCAAACTTTCAGGACCTGCCAGTGAAGGGGCATCTCCAGGACCCGTGAGGCGTCGGGTCTCCGATAAATCAGGGGTGGCCATAGCTGGAGGTAAGCCTAATTAATTATAGAAAAACTAAATAATTTGTATACCTACAAAAATAAGTATTAAAACCCGGGTAACTTTCAATTTCTAGTGTGTGATAGAAGCTATAAACGATTATAAAGAACATTTCAGTTTGGTAAAAAGGTCTCTATGTTTTAGAAAAATCCTTTGTAAAATAATTCTTCATTCTTCCTTGTTTATACTTATGATCTAAAAGACTTGTTAAGTCTTCTCTGTTGACGTAACAATAAATGAGGATAAATTGTTCAAAATTAGTTATCAGATCAATTAGTTATCTCTTTTGTCAAACAAAATAGTTGCTAAAAGAGTGTCAGAGGCTTTATTGGCCGTAGAACAAGAAGAAATGTTGCTTGTTCTGCGCCCTTGATAACTGGAAGTATATAGCAGTATTTTAATTTTCCCTATATGATTTTTTTTTGATTTGAGTTTGATGGACGTATTTTATTCCTAAACATTTGGCAACAAATAAAATAGGGTGGAAAAAGTAGCAAGAGGTGCGGCCCTGCCCTTGTTGGGACCTACTCATGGACAGGGGCCGCAACTTAGAGTAATAAAATTGTATACATATTTATTTCTGTATAATGTATGTCAATATTATGTGAATAATCAGTTTATTTCTTAGTAAAATGCTAGTAAAGCTTGCTTGATATGTTTTAGGTATTAATTCCAATGTATTAAAATTCAAGTTTCAGTGACGTCTATGGTTATTTATTTATTATGTGGATATTACATATACTTATATCATTTTATCATATTAAAAATTCGCGTTTTTCAAAGGTCTTCCGTATATGCTCGAAAGAGCTGGATTAGACGTACAACAAGGTAAAATATTGTATGATTAATAAATTAATTCTAACGCGAATATTGTTATGACAATATGTTTTTGAAGTCGATTTACAATTTTCAGAAATACAAAGGAATCGGGAATTTTATAAGAGCGCGGATGTGCGGCCGCCCTTCACTTACGCATCACTTATAAGACAGGTAAATAAAATCTTGCTTATAATAGCTAAAGGTAATGTTTGAACGAGCTAACACGAACTAATGATTTGGATAGAAACATTATTTTTGTGTTGTTAATTTATCTATGAGGGATATAATATCGCCCCACGACCGAGGGCACAGCGAGTATGAAATAAAAAAAATAATATGACCATAGTTATAAAACTTTGTGTGGCTTTTTAATTTAAAAAAATACTTAGGTAATTTGAGGGTAACAAACAAAAAAGAAACTGATTCAATAATTACAGAAATACATACATTATCCTTACAAACTATGCTAATACGATAATGTCGAGTAAAATAAAATAAAATATAATAAAGTATATAATATTAAACATATAATATACTACTGTGAATTCAATATTGCTACTGTGAATTCACTTATATAAATATGTCGATAGTGAAAAGTTCAAAAGACCTATATTTCCAATAATTCCATCGCGCTTTCCACACAGTTTACCAAAGAACACATCCTTTTTGTTAGTATAGTGCGCAATACAAAATTCATTATTATTAGATTAAGTGTTTTTCGCGTATTATTGTCATATCTATCTTAACGCCCCGCAAAAATTTCCAGGCCATAATAGAGTCTCCAGACAAACAGCTCACGTTGAACGAGATTTACAACTGGTTCCAGAGTACTTTTTGCTACTTCAGACGAAACGCGGCCACTTGGAAGGTAAGACTTCATTTTCGATACCTTGATTTGATGGTTAACTTTAACAATGTGTTCTTAAGTATCCCAGGATAGCTGTATAAAGGTAAACATTAATTTACTAAATCACCGTATTAAGACAATAGTCATAACGTATATTTTATATAAATATTATACATAATTAGTTAAATTGTTTCTCTGTAAGTATAAGAATTGTCAAAGCGTATATTAAGAAGCTAAGTACAAACAGAACGCAGTGCGACACAACCTTTCGCTGCACAAATGCTTCATGCGCGTCGAGAACGTGAAAGGCGCAGTGTGGACGGTAGACGAAGTGGAGTTTTACAAAAGGCGACCGCAGAGAGCAACTCACGCGCCGCCGCCGCCGATGCATCACGCCGGGTACGCTACAGCGTCGCCTGGCCGCAGACCGACACTTTACAATTTGACACTTGCCAATTTACACTTAAATTTTACCTTGGATAACATCGAAAACTTTACACCTGACTGATCTTATACTCAAACAGATACTACCGTTATTAAGAATAAAGATTTACATAAAAGTGTACACAAAACATATAACACTATACAAATAACTATTAGATTACACGTAACACGTGCTACACTAAGCACATATATACATTATACATCAACAATATTCACTAAACGCATACACAATGCGTCTGATTACTATGATAAAACACTTTACTCTTAATCATTTCTATTCCCTGAAGAAAACTTACAATTTACACATATATCCTGATTGCATCAAGATATTTGATTCATACAAACCACACTATACTACCATACCAGTTCTATCAAATTGACTATACTGCAGTTCTTTACTTGGTAAATTCAAAGATATACACATTTAAAACTACTCCATTTTAACACCAACAACGATTTAACATTTAAATTTTTTTAATAGTCACTTTACAATTTTGCACGCTTCGTTATATCGCTTTGATATTGAACACTTTCACTTATAAAAATCACCCAATGAGTTTACCCTTTCACATGGCAATACCAAAACTAATATACACTTAACAAAAGATCACCGAACATATTTATTAATCTTCTCTTATTTTCTATCTATAGACATAATTCAATTTCTGTCATGTAAATAAATGTTTTATCTCGTTTCAGATTTAATTATAATTTGTGTAGCTAATTTTGGATGAAATTTGTAAGTTGCGATATAATCGATCTCTTTTCGATTATAACGTGACCCGTATTTAGGATTTGTTATTTGTGTGTGTTCGTGGAGTTGAGCGCTACGGTGACTAACAGTTTTCGCGCTTGCCTAACCAATGTCCCACATATCATCCTCTCCTCGGGTTTCGGGTTCTCCTGCATGATATTTTAAGCCCCTCTTTCCACGACGATCTAAATGTACTTCAATGTTTATTATAAATTAATCAATTGAAGCACATTTCACAAAGTAAGGTCTAGCAAAATTGTTAACATTTGCTAAAGAAAAATGAATTATAGAATGCAATCCGGACGAACCTGTCTCTACACAAATGTTTCGTGCGCTACGAGGATGACTTCGGTTCGTTTTGGATGGTGGATGATGCGGAATTCGTGAAGAGAAGGCATCTCAGCCGAGGTCGACCCAGAAAGTATGAGCCAGCCCCACCGGGACCCAACGCTCAACAGTAAGGGCGCTGTTGCATCTGACGTAGCGATCGTCCAACGAATCTTTTGCGAGTTGCGAATATTAAAGGCCAAGCTCGGTACAAGCCTATGATTGAAGGGCCTATGATTACCAATGGAATATAAAGCATTGATTGATTATATTTACTAAAATTCCTTAATTTTAATGATTATTCTATCGGAAATAATTACCTCGTGTTTTGGCATACCGAGCATTAAACACTCGTTTTCAAGTTATATTGTTAACTAGTTAGGTTTGTTGAGTAAAATAGAATCGTTGGACGATCGCGTCCGAATATATGCGAACTATCGAATCAACAGATTGATTGTTCACGAATAGTTGATGTTTCACCGTTATGTAAGGTGTGTAATTAATGTGTAATCATAGATACATCCAACATATTGTCATGTAAGCCTATATAGTGCTACAAATCTATATAATAAACCTCAAATTTAACAGTTTCAAATTAGTTTGCAGCACTACCTTCATTCCAACAAATATTTAAAATCTGTGGGTACTTACATTTCTAAGTTTTTATAGATGTAAGTTCTCTACAGGCAGCATTAGTGATTAGAATGCCAAGCTATAGAAACTTGTTTTGCGAATAGTTTAACTTTATACCAAATAATTAGTCATAAGCTTTATCATATTTTGCAAATGTACCTTCAAACATAGCTATATTTCTACTTGTCATCGTTGTCCGAAGAATAAAATTCTGCATGCCTTCTACAAGGACAGTGAGAGTTATGATTAAGTTGACGTATGTTATGCATGCTTGCATTTATATTATAAGATCGTCGTTGGATAAACAAGTAAGATTTTTCTACGATTTTTATTCCCATTTAATCTTGCATGGTTTTATCCTCATGGAGGTGAAATATCGCTTTCTTCAGCTTTAGTGCATTTTTGTCGCATGTTTTTATCAAATTTTATTATATTTCTCAATACGCTTGCTTTTTTTCTATTTCTATTTTTTCTATTTTATCAACATGACATTCACCGCTAACACTGAAACATGAATAATTGGACTTTATTTTCAAAATTATACACTTCACATTTTACACTTACATACGACACTTTTTAGTGTTAATCATCAAATGGTTTGATAAGGCCAGGGGTATGCTGATTTTTATATTTTATTTGAATTTTAGTTGAAATATTAAAATCATTAGAATTCGCACTTTACGATATAATTATTAGTTTCATTTTTCTTTGTTAAATTATTCAATTATTAAATTTTCTATAATAGTCTTTTTATATAGGCTATAACTGTGATTAATTTTACAGATTTTTGGGAGCTCAAAGCCCACCAATGATGACTAGTCCTCATGGATACAGCGAAGCTTTGAAGCGAAACCTTCAGGTAAGATTTTGATACTATTAAAGTCTAATTTGTACCATCTTTAATAGATAGTTTATTGTATTAAACATGGTAATGACCTAGTGACTTAAGTGCCTCTTTGTTTCGAGCTTATAATCTTCGAAGGCCTACCCACAGACATATATATATATATATATAGCTTGCCCCGAGGAACAACGTCGTAAAGCAACGTCTGACTTAATATTTTCTTATTTTTGACTTCCTTGTCAAAAGTGGTGGTTCCTTGTTGTGGGTGATGTGTAACTGTATTTTTTTTTATTTTTGCAAAACATAATATAATGTTTACCATTACCTTATTTTACTGTTCTGAAATAGAAAGCAACAACCATAAACATAGTTATAGTTGTAAAACTACCAAATAATCATTTAGTTAATTAGTTAATACGCCAGTTTAAAAACAAATAAAGAATGGTAATAATATATCGCTGTTTCACCAAGGTAATAATAGAGTGATAATAAATTATTACGTTCTAGACATTCGTCAAAATATGCCATGTGCGTTTACTGTATCGTCCGTAATTAATTTAAACAGTAAATGAATCGCAAAACGCTTTAGATGTTCAATCTAATTAGATAAATTGCTGTAATGTACATTCAGTTATTTTTTAACTACTAACACAAAATACATTACAACAATGTTAAAATCGGAATAGCTTTCCTTTGATATATATATTTGTATATGTAATGTACTTACGTATAGTATACTAGTAATAATAGCATTACCTTCTTTTATATTCCCTGAAAAAAATGCTTTTACGACTGATCCCCGGGGCAAGCGATATATGTATTTTTTTTATTTATTCGCTTATAATTTTCGTAGGCCTAGCCGCAGATATATATATTTAATTAGACGGCTCAGATGACTGAACAGCACTGACTCTTCATTTATTAACCACGACACACAATTTGTTTTAAATTGCAACCCAACAACCATTACATCAAACATGGTGTAATGGTTGCAGCTTGCAAACATTGTGTAAAAAAATGGCGATTAAAAAGAGTGGCGGAGAGTTTATTGCCAGTTCTTCTCTTCCGTTCTACGCCCTTGATTTGAGAACTGGCAGTGCATGTAAAATTAGAAGCATTAATATGTATTTCTTTACTGACGAGTCATAAGTGTTCATTATGTTACCTACATGATTAAATTATTTTTTACTTTACTTTACTTTGACTAAATATTTACCCTGTTTTTAGGGTATGATGGAGGATTGCAATCTAGCGTACATGTCAACGGATGATCATATGATGCAAAATGATGATTACCAATCATCCCATGAAGATTACAGGTATTTATATTGCTATCTGTATATAGATAGATAGTCTATATGTACAAAACTTTTACATGTAAAATTTTTATAAATCCCTTAACTAGGAGTAGTAAACTTTCATCTTTCGTTCGTTCAAGGAAATGTTTGAGGGCATTTAAGAACTTCTCGGCTATTAATAATATACGAAATGCCTTATGTTAAATATTCTTATTAATGAGCAGTGTTGGCCTAGTGGCTTCAACTCTCATCCCTAAGGTCGTAGGTTCAGTCTATGTGCCCATTAACATTCGCTCGAACGGTGAAGGACAACATTGTCAGGAAACCGGCTTGCCTTAGACGGTAGACCCCAAGTTGACGACGTGTGTCAGGCACAGGAGGCTGATTGACTTGCCTATTAGAATGATTATTATCATGAAACAGATACAGAAATATGAGGTCTTGATCTAAAAAGGTTGTAGCGTCACTGATTTATTTATTTAAATTTGGCTAGATCGTAATGTTCCACGATGGAGATTGAAGAGACAATGTTTTTAAAAAATGTAAATCTAATCACACTTATTTCCAGCCGACCACAAATGATGAACGGTTACGGCAACAGCAGTTCCTCACACGACGTCAAAGCCGAAGATCTGAGTGCTAACGACGCACAAGATATTAAGCCAAATATTTATGCGCTGAAGAACGAAATGCAGGCTTCTGATTATACCAGTAAAGGTATTTTTTACATAAAATGTTATTAATTGGATTTTAATAATAAAAAGCCACTTTAATTTCATACACAAAATTACATATAAAAGGTAGCTTTATTATTATACTCTTGGTTAACGTTAGTTATTGTTATTTCGCTTGTTATTAGCTTCCTCCACCCATTTCTATTCTTTTGAAAATCACCCAACATCTAAACTATGAAAACTCTGATTGTATAATTAAAGAATCGAGAAGATTTTTGTCCGTCCGCCACTGCACCATCAGTAGCAGGGCTTCTTTATAGACAGAAGTAGAAGATAACATTCTAGATACTTGCTTTTTAGGTGATTACTCAAATTCAACCAAGGAGTCCTCGAGCAACCGCTCCAGCGAAACAAGCCCATACAACGAGTACGCGCGTCCCGAGGACAGATACCGGGCCCTCTCCCACATCAAAGACGAGGCAGAAAACTTGTCCCTCAACGAGCAAAGGTCTGACAAGTAGATTTTTAAATTTGGAATTCCATCGAAAATCATCGAAGTGATTGGACTAAGCAATACAAAGTGATTACGAATTTTGCACTAGCATTATCACAATATTTACGGGTAGTTGTATTTTGTGAAGTGTTCACTGGACTATAGTTTACCAAAAACGTTAATTTCACCCGGTTTTAACGGGAAGTATTATTTTTAGTTCTAGCTATTTTGAATTGTTAGCGGCATTATTAGTAATGCCTTAATAAAGGTTCATATCAATATTGAAATATTTAAAAGTATTTAATCATTATTTGTAATAAATAAGAACAATAAGTAGCTGTATCGGTAAGTATAGTACATTTGCGCAAAGCGTTTTGGTTCGCGTTCATTCCTTGTTAGGTTGAATCTGTTTGCTTAAAGTTTTGATTAACATTTAAGTCTCAATTAAATTGAAATCGGTCAAAATTGTATGATCTAAAACGTATAAAGTTTCCATAGATTGGTAGTTCCGATTTTTTATGATAATAATTTTTCTAACAAGGAATTAAATTTTGCAATAGCAACACTTTTATTTTTTATATTCAATGTATACGGAATTGATCTGAATTATTTCTGTGTTAAGTGCCATAATGAGGTACTATTTTGTGATTTATTTTTTGGTTCATAGGCTGTAAATATTTATCGTGATTATCATGATATAAATTAAGAATAGTTAAGATCGCGTTTAATTCGAATAACTTTGAATTAACATAAGAGGTTCCCAGTACAAGTCTTCCGACTCAACAAAAGTATTAATTTTAAATTTTATCCGTACATCAGATTTAAGATGTTTTTAAATAAATAATTTAAAAAATAGGCTTCGTGAAAGGTTATATTCAAGCCTTGTTTAATCTAGCTTATTGGCTAGCATTGTGTTTCAAAAGTCCAGTACAGTTTTGTGGCTTCTGTGACCATTTCTCATTTCAATGAGGGTACAGTTGCACAATATAAGTGTGGCACGAAAGAACGGTTTGTGTCAACAAGGTTGCTTTTTACACCATTGGTCGTTATTGGCACTATATTAAATACGTGTGTTAATTCAAAGTTGTCACTTTGCATATTAAATTGTTCATGTTGTAGAGAATTTAGTAATTTAGAAAATTAATCTCTCTGATTTCTTTGTGCATTTTGTTTTGAAGTGCATTTATTCCGAATATTAAAGGGTGTAAATCATATCACAGTGTATAGTTAACTTATAGGCAGTTGAAATGTACGCATTTACAGTAGTTTAGCACACTTCACTTAGAATTAATGTATTTAAACTTTTTGGTTTCACTAAGCCACGAGTTTGACTCGAAGTACTAAACGGTTTGTAATATGTTTGTATAACATATCTTAGTAATGCACGAAAGACAGCGCCCTTACTTAATAACTTCCAATACAGAGATACCGACTCCGACGTTTTCTGTCTTAGACGTCGCTGTTGTTACCGTGGGATCGGTCGCCGTAAATTACTCATTACGATAACCTTTATACATTCATCAAACTCATGGCTTTATTGACGTTGTTTAACGATTCGATACAAGTTGATTCAACTTTTAATATATCCGATTTTACAGTTATATAAATTTAGATTTTAAATGCCAGATTAAATAATGTTTCTTTAATTGTTAACACAAAACAGGCACGAAATTTTAGTTATTACAGTACAAAAAGTTTTTAATATGGAATTGATTTATTATGTACAAATTTTAATTTAAGTAGTGTACAGTAACCGCTTTTGTTATATATATTGTTAATTATATGGCTAATGCTTAGATTTTTTAATATATTATCCAAGTTGTTTATTTATTTGACTTTCATCGGTTAAAACACAAAAGTTAATCTAAATAAAATAAAAATTGACTTGTGATTTAAAATCCAGTAGATACGATTATGCCATCTAAGTCTTGATATCACACATTTAAAATATATATATATTTAATTGTATTAAAAAATCTAAGCATTTTAAGTTAACAGTGGTAAAAGACATGCATTGGAGTTTCGTACCAAGTAGGCATTTTATGTAGTTTTAAACATCGTTTAGTCTTGAGTCTCGATCGATATTGTTCGTTCATTGATCATTGTAAATTATACTTAATTAGTGTTGTATTAAACCAAATTATTACAAATAATATTGTCTTTTTATTAATGAATCCACGCAAAAATTGATAAGTTAACATATCTTAATATGAGTTATAGTTGTGTTAGTATACGTTGTAAAAATTTAAGTTAGTTTTTTAGCGGTCTAGTATTGTATAGCCCCTTTTAGGGTAAAAGCCTCCTCCGTATTTTTCCATTTCTCTTTCTTTTTCTTCTCTGATTTTTCTTTTGTCTTGTTTGGATGATCTTACATTGTGACGTAGAGCGCCTTTTATTATTTTCCTGATCTTCGTGTTTCATATATAATGGAGGGTGGTATTTTTATTATCCTCCTTGAGCTTATAATAATGTTAATAATCTCCGACCTGGCCGATTGGCACTGGCAACACGCGCTTGTAATTAGATTTTCGACAATTTCAATTTCAATTGTTAATAACGCCCTCATAATATATTACTTTGTGCGTTCTGTATACTATTTATTTATTTACACTTCGTTACCTTAAACATACATATAAAAAGTTTATATGTGATTCGGCAACGGGCCTTATACCTAACAAGCGATTTCTTCAAGACAAGAAAAGTAAAAAATAAAAGGTACTGAGGGTAAAATACAAGAAATGCATAAATAATTTATAAAAAAAAACAGAAAGCATAAATATACGTTTTAACTATAACTGAACTAATTAGAAATCTAAAAAAAAAATAACCTTAGGGGAAATACGTTTTTAAATTTTAATTATCAGTCTGTCATCCCATTATTCCTTTATTAATGATTCTCTTTTCCCTTCGACTGATATTTGTGTGTTTATGTGAGTCGAATTGAGGATATGTTGTGGTATAATATATAATAATTATCAACCACCGAACCATTCATTATGGTACAGCGGCAAAAGATGGCGGTAATATTCCAACATATATATATCTCCTTTATTAATATTTTACTAGCGGACTTGCCACATCTTTAAAAATATATAATTTAATTGTAATTCTAAACCATTCTCGAATCCACTTTCCACAAAAATTAAAATTGCTCCCGTTCAGGACAAGTTTAATTATAAATACGCGCAGAGTAGATTATTATATGAAAATCATAATTTTATATAAATATGTATAAAAACCAAATCAGTTTAATTTCACACATTACGAAAGATCATCATACATACATAGCTTGTGAGCTATAAACGTTCGCTTAATATGACAGAATGCAATTAAACTGATTTAGTTTATGTAAAAAGGTTTAAATAATAATATCAAATGGATAATATAAATAAATATAGCCTAAAAAAACTATAAAACATGCTTATAAAGCACATCAAATCAGCTTAAATTAGGAATTATTTTTCACTTTTTAGTTTGATGTGCTTTAAAAGCGTGTTTGATAGTTTTTTTTAACTATATTTATTTTCCAATTTTTAGTCCTAGCAGCAATACGTGTTGTCTCAATTTAATCGTATTGCTTTGTGGACTTAAAAAAATATCATTGATTTTTCGAGATAAACCTATGAAATTATTATATTGTCGCTGATTCTTTATAAGTGTACAAAGTTTGAATTAAATCTGTCCGTTTAAAGTGGGTCAAAATCCAGTCCGAAGGAGTCGTTTACATACATACATACAGGTGAAGCTAATATAAAGCGTGGTTGTCTGTAAAGTCGGTTTACTGACATATTGAACTCAATCATAAAAATATTATGGATGGTTGCATTTTTAAAAAAATATTAAATTTTATTTTTTATAGTATTTTGTATGGATATAGAGAAGGAGGTAAATGGAAATAATTGATTGATTTAATTTATTTGTAATAAATAAATTATGTATTTTAAATTACTAGAAGTTAGAAGTTTCTCGGCGGCGCCAAGGGTTTTGTTTTCGTGCGCGCAGCCCGCTCCATCGGTTTTTGTAATAAGTAAGCTGACAAAAACTGACCACTGAAAAACACGAAACATCGAGCTATGTAAATATTTATTCTATTAAAGAATTTTTATTAAAATCTCATGGCAATACAACCTATTCTATGGGCTGCAGCAGTGGCATCAAGTTGTTTTTCTGGCGATGTTTTTTTACTCCGACCGAGCGAACATTCGAATTATATACGCACATAGGTAATCCATTGTATCGCCGCTATAGACCTATAGTTAAAACGCACGGCCTCAATGGTATATTACAGAAAATAGATAAACTAACCTAACTTAAATCCTAAAGAACCACAATGCAAAAAGTGATAACAACTAAACGACGCAGGTGGATTAAGATCACTATTACGCAATAAAAACAACATCTACAATGTAAAAAATCAAATATTTTCATTTAATTTCAGCTTATCATAGTTAAACGAAGATATGAAAAAGTAATTTCATCAATATACCGCCCTGTCTCGCATGATTTATGACAAGAACAAGTGCATTAGTGTTGTACCTGATAAGGACGAACATCGATAAAACTAAGACGAAATTGTTGTTTGAGATGAGTCAAACTATCGAATTTAATTTTTTCACTCATATTGTCAAAGAGCTCGCAAGTGAGTTTTTAAGTTTTTGATAATATTTGACATTAACAGACCTACAATAGGTAAAGTCTATCGAACACTATAATACATGAAATAGCGAAACAGATGCAAATACAATAATTTGATGATTCTTGGTAATGTTATTTTCAGTGTATGTTATGCACGAGTTTAAGAAAATAATTATCTGCTAATAAATTAATAATAAACAAAGAAAAACTAAGTGCTAAAATTAATAATCTACTTAATTAGTTTATGTTAATGTTACATAGTCAAAGAGTGTAGCTTATACCATCTAAAACGATTTTGACAATCGTGGTGCTTATTAAACATAAAGCTACGCGAGCAGAAATGGACGGCCTTGGATGATATTAAAATTAACGAAAAGTTATTATGAAAATCTT